CTTGGTAGGATCTAAAAAGTAATGCTAATAGTAGCTAAATAGGAAGTTCGACGTAAGGATCAACATCCTCACCCTTTTAGGAGTTGCAATTAAGTCACTGAAGATGACATTTATCGAATAATATTGTACTTCTGCCCTTGGGAATGGTTTTTCGTCGTCATCATCGCACCTAGAGCTGAGTTCCTATTTGCCAAGTAGACAGAAAATGACAGCGCAGCAAAGGTTATTAATGCTATGGCGTTCCATCTCCGCACTCTTTGCGCATCAACCAATACAATACAAGGCAACATGATCCCAACACCCCATATTTGCCAAGTGGCACAAGTCCCATTCATGCATTGAGCAAACTTTATGAACTCCATCATTATTTGTGACAAGAACTCTGAAAAAATCCTCAGTAGGCCCAAAATGAACAGGAGGGTAAGAATTTCTGCTTTAGTTAGGTCCCTCCAGCTAAGTAATCACGAAGGTTAACTCTCAAAGTTACTATTAAACATTTTTTCTTTAAACAGAACGTAAAACACTTTGCTGAATCTCGCCTTAAGAGAAGAAGGTAGCGGGGCACTTGAGCTGCCATTTTCGGGTTCGCGGAGATGACGTCAACCTCGGCGTGGAGTGAGGTCATGAAGGGTTGCAAATGTAGGTTAATTATTGCATAAATTACTTGGCATTAACGTGAATGATTTCCACTTAACAATGGCGGTCACCGAGAGGAGGGTTTTGCTGCCACGGACCCATAATGAAGAAATGAATTTTTTACAGAAGCATGGCGGTAGTGATCACAGCGTAGTCCACTAATTAAAAATTAACAAATAAGTAGATAAAAGGGAATTAATTTTTTTCCAATTCGATAAATTGCGAAAACACTAATTGGGCCTCCTTTTCGCTCCTTCCACCTGACTATTGCAGTCAGAAGCGTTTAAAGTGTTAAATCCTAGAAATGTGTGGAGCCCAATTCAGTGATTTCTGGCTCTAATCTTCTCTCCTTTCCGCGCATTATTTTTGTTTCGCTTCTGAAGGCTAAAAATTCTCCCTTGAAAAATGATCTAACTTGTTTTTTTAAGGTGAAGACCATTGATTAGCGTTCTTTCACATAGCATTAGTGAAAAATCCATCTTTATTTCTAGATTTTTGTTTAATCTTTTTGTCCCAGACCATTATTAAAAGTCTTTAGCATCTACTACGTCAGTAAGTAGGAACTACCCTATTTTTCTTTGCGGATTTTAGTGCCAACATTCACGTTGGTCACCCTTCCTTTTCTGGTTACCGCAAATACAAAACAAGTTTTTTTTGGGAGAACAAAAAACGACACAGTGCGAATAGCTTAAACGGGGTGATGCGATGCCCATCGGGTTCTAGTCCAGTGTCCTGATGCATATTTTGTTTACCTTCACGACTTCATTCATGTGCACATGTGTGTCACACATGTGTGACGTGAGTAATTCTGAACATGTTGACGCAGAGGAAACATTGAACCGATTCATTTTGAGCCTCGCATGAAGTAGACATGTGCAAACCTGTTAAAAGCACTTCTTCAATGTCTTTAGCCTCCACATCTCTAACAAACAAGAGTCAAAATGTACAAATAAACAACAAATAACATTGGATTATGTCTATAAAGTAAACGCCTAGTTAATTGTTTCCAGCAGTTTAAAACAATAAATTTCTACCCTATTCGAGCCAGCTATGCCTCCCCTGTAGCGCCTTTTAACGTTCAATTAGATGGAAATTGAACTTTGCGTCTCGAATCTTTTGTGAAGACAATAGGAATCATGGTAAAGGGACGGAAAATGCACTGCTGACGTAGAGATGGGCCGTGGTTACAAGTGGTCTAGCTTGCAGGCCAGGCTATCCTGCAAAAGTACCATTAGCGAAATCTTAAGTGGTCGTGTAACCAAAAT